AAAAAAAAAAAAAAAAGAATAAAAAGAAAAAGAAAAGATAGAAAGAGAAAGATTAGATAAGAAGAAAGATAGAAAAATAAATAAAAATAAAAATGGAAATGAAGAATCATTGTTACAATCATCTGATTATCTTCAAACGTTAAGAAATTAAAAAATAAAATAAATTATAAAAAAAATAATATTTATAATTAATAATATATAAATTAAATTAAAATTAAATCATAGTTTTGATTATATTCTTTTTTTATTCTCAACTAAAATAAAATACTCGTACTAATTACTCCTAATATTTTGCACGAGTAAGTGAGCAAGTGAATTTGATATCTCTAATCGAATATTATTTATTTAATAATAAAATATATAAATAATAATTATCGTCAAGGATATATTAAATAAAATATATTAATTATCGTTGGTTCGATGATATAAAATAAATAATTTTTAATTGACAAAAATAACTTTTTATCAAACTGTAATTTGTTTTATATTTAATAATATTATATCTATTTGGTTATTGATAACAAAGTACAGAAAAATAATTAAATAAATAAATAAATAAATGAATAAATAAATGAATGAGTCAATCAATAAATCAATCAATCAATAAAAAAATAAAAAAATAAATAAACAAATAAATAAATAAATTAATTAATTAATCGGTCAATCAATCAATCAATCAATCAATCAATAAAAATAATTAAAAAAATAAAAAGAAAACAGTAAAGAACAAATAATTTTCGATTGTAAGTGAAATCATTGGAAAAGAAAAAAGAAGAAAAAAAGAAAAGGACCCACCACCAAGGTCATTGGACCATGAAGATGAAGAGATCGTCGGGATGCTGCACGCTGTCATGCTAGGGAGTGGACCAGGACGCGGTAGACGCGAATGGTATCCTGGATTTTATCTTCAAAGTCGTAGATTAGGTAGAAGAATGAATCGTGGTGAACAGGAAACGTTGTTTCGGCAAAGCCGACAATTGACAAGAATTGTACCATCCCATGAGGATCTTGTTCTCAGTGTACTTAAAGCTCCCATAAGTCAACAACAACAACAGCAACAACAACAACAACAGCAACAACAACAACAACATAGACATTTTAGACATCATCAACAACAACAAAGTCATTTTCAGGAACATCATTTCAACTGTCAAACGCGTTTGGCTCATGGCAGGTGTAATCATTCAGGTATTAGGATTTAGGAGAATTATTAATTCAAATTTTGATAACACACGTTTAATGACGTTTTTCATATTTTTTTTTTCATTAATTATTTATTTATTTATTTATTTATTTAGTTATTTAGTAATTTAATTTTTTTGTTCTCTAACACATTTGTCAATTTCTAATTTTTTATTTAATATTTATTTGTAATTAAATATAATTTGTTTTAATTGAAATATTTCAATATCTAATTTTGTAAATTAACAATTGTTAATAATTATTTCTACGTTTGTTTTATTACGTTGGTGTTATATTTTTTTTTTTTTTTAATATTCATTTTTTTTTTATTATTTTATCTTTCTTTCTTTCCTTTTTTCCTCAGAGTGCATTGGTGGTTTTTATTTGAATTGGGCAGGTATTTTTTTTTACATATTTTTTTATGTTTTATTTTTTTTTTTTATTTTATTTATTTTTTTATTTTTTTCTTTCAAGTGGGTTGGTGGTGGTTTTTATTGGAATCGAGGAGGTATTTTTTATTTTTATTTTTTTCAATTTTTTTCTCTTCAGAAATGATCGAAAATGCGTTTGTTTTATTTGTCCAATGATTTTTTGTTTTTATTTTTCAATTTTTTTATTGGTCCAATAATTTTTGTTTGTTTTTTCAATTGTTTTATTGGTCCAATGATTTTTGTTTTTTTTTTCATTTGTTTTTTTCGTATATTCATTTTTGGCAATAGGATAAATAAAAATATGAAGTATCGTGTATTACACTTTATAAAACTGCGAGAACTGATTTTTCAATTGAAATGAAATTTATTTATCCTTACACTGATTCTACTTGTATTTTACTTAATTACAATTTACAATGAAAAATATATTTTTAATTTATTGTAAGTAAATAATTCCTTATTTTTTCTTTTTCTTTTTATTTTTCATTTAAATTTTTAATTTGAATTTACTGACAAATCTTACATACTTGTGATAGACTCTTGTTGATTTTATTTATATTTGAAATTATTTTATCATTATACGATTGTTAATATTATAAATATTATTTTTATTTATTATTTAGATTATGACGAATTAATTATTTTAATTCGAAACGATTTAAAATTTAATAATTTTTCCCATAATAATAAATGAATGAATTATTATTTCTTTCGTTAAATTTTGTTCATTTTTTTTCTATTCATTGTTTCCTTTTTGAATTATTTGTAGAAACAATTGAAATGATATTTTATTTTACGGCATTAAACGTGTGTCGATCAAGAACGCATCAAATTTCATTTGACAAATTGTATACCTTTGTCAATGTAAAATCTCATTTTACATGAAAATTTGTATGAATTTATCGATGCTGCAGGATATCAAAATACATATGACAAACATCCTAATTCATAATATCGATCAATAAATTAATTACATTTTGATGTAATACGAAAACTATATATTCGTTTAAACATATATATATATATATATATATATATAAACATTATAAAGATAAATGGTTAAATATAATTACAAAATATTTGTATAAAACTCATTCAATCAGAACAACTCTCTCATTGTTATTTTCTGATTTTAATTAATTAATTATTTATTTATTTATTTAATTATATAATAATATTATACATAATTTTTCATTTATTCTAAGTAAATTATTTCTATTTTTTTTTTTTTATTATCTTTAATTTGAGTTTATGAAAAATTGTACACACTTGTGTTAAAGTGCTTTTATTTATATTATATTATTTATTTAATTTATTTTCATATTTTTTTTTATATGAATATATTATTACATCATTCGATTTTACTTCATATTTTTCGATTATTTCCTTTTATATTATTTTATAACATTTTTTATTAACTATAGTAACAATTGTCATATATATTATTTAGTATATAACATTTTCGATTGATTGTAGGGTAATACTTTTGATTTACATAGTCATCGATATTCATTTGGAAATAAATAAACAAATCGTTTATTGTATCCTCACGTTTTTATGTAAATTAAAATTTATTTATTTTTTTTTTTTTTTTATATTTTAAACGATACCAAACAAAACAATCCTCAGTTTTTATTAATTATTATCTAATATATATATATATATGTGTGTGTGTGTGTATATTACGATACGAGTTTGAAAAAAATAATAATAAGTATGCATAGAAATTTGTATTTTTAATAAAATATGCAGCATCGATACTTGAATAACATTAATTTTTTATTTGATAAAATTTTTGTTTGAAACAATTCTGACAAAAATTCAATATACAAAAGTTTAGAATAAAATAAAAAAAAAAAAGAAAAAAAAAAAAGAAAAATGCATTATTGACAAAAAATTTGCAAATACAATTTTAAACAAACGATTATAAACAATCGTGTTTTTATTTATAATATTAACAGTGATATTACCACAAAAGTTTATAAAATAAAAATAGAAGAAAAAAAAAAAGAAAATGCGTTCTTGACAAAAATTTGCAAATACAATTTTAAACAAACGATTATAAACAATCGTTTATTATTTATTAAATCAACACTGATATTACCCACTGATCGTTGATATCGATTATTATCATTATTTTTCATTCAACTAATTATTTTCATAAACATTTCGATTAAAATACAATTTACGACATATTTTTTCTTTCAATTGAGAAGACAAAATAAAAAAGAAAAAAAAGATTTGCACTTTCTACGAAATCAATTTTTATTTATACACCATATATATATATATTAAGTATGCGATTAATTTATTTGATTATTTAATTAAAAGCCATTTTTCATTGAACCAAAAGAGGGGATGGATATCTCATACTAACGATTACAATTGGATAAATCCTTGTGCGATTAATTCCATTCGTTTATTTATTGAACCTCGAACAAAACGAGTTAACGTAGTGGAGAGGGGGAAGGGAATGAAAAGGGGGAGGGGAATGAAAAGGGGGAGATTTGATGGGGGTTGCACTAGCACCACAGCCGTCGACGAGTGCTAATAGGAAATTAATTAAATATCAATCGTTGTTATCGAAGGGGTGTAAAAATTCAATCAGTTTTCCAGTTAGTTCGTTTTGTTTTTTAATATTTCGCAAACTATTGTTTAAACTTAATAAAAATTTTTAGTTATTTTTTTTTTATCTTGTTCTATTTCTTGTGTGTTTGATTTTGTTGTTGTTGTTGATATTTAATATTTTTACAATATAATCAGATGACATTTTTGTGTTAGTTCATTTTGTTTTATTATTAAATTAGTTTAAATTGAACAATTATTTAGTTTCATTTTTAGTTATCTTTTTTTTATCTCGTTCTATTTCTTACGTGTTTATTTTCTTTTTTTCTTTTTATTTTATATATTTAATATTTTACAATATAATTATATAAAATTTAATTGGATATCTATTCGATAATATACTCCATATTTATATTTAATAAAATATTTGTAACATATGATACAATCTTACTATATATATATATCATAATTTAAAAACAGAAGAAAAATGAACAATTACAAATATAAATAATGGAATTGTTATTAATTATTATAACTTTGTAATATAGAAATTTCAAATTGATCTATTATATTAAAATAAAATAAAAATTAATATCATATAAATTACATACACGTAGATAGAATTATTTTATGTATAATTTAAAATGAACTGAATACGTCAAATTGAAAATTAAAAATAATTGTTCTATAATTTATTTATTTATTTATTAATTAATTTTTTTTTTAATGTTTTTATAGAATTAATTTTTTTTTTGTTCGAAGCAACTGTGTCTTGTTACATAAGAGTTAGAATTTAATTATTATATATATATTTGTACAATATTATAAAAATTTCAAATTGATCTATTATTTATATTAAAATAAATTAGGTCGTATAAATTATAAACACGTAGATAAATAATAATTTTTTTTTTTATATATATAATTTAAATGAGAACTAAACACGTCAAATTGAAAATTAGAATCAATTGTTCTATTATTTTTTTTATTCATTTTATAATTTATTTATACATAAGTTAAATGAATTGAAATTAGAATTGAAAGAATAGTTCTGATTGAAATTAGAAACAATTGTTTTATGTTTTTTTTCGTTTTTATAGAATATATATATATATATTTTTTTTGTTTCGAAGCATCTGTGGTTTATTACGTAAGAGTTAGAACCTTACAAAGGGTACGATAACAATCGCGTATAATTGATATTAAATGATTAATCGAGATATGTACGCCATTGACCTTCCTACTTTACTTGGCATAGTTCTACGCAATACTTCGTTGTCTATAATACGGAAAAATACGAAACATATGTAGTGTGTTACGATTAGATCAAGTTACATGGGAAATCAACCAGGTGGAAAAATTTAAAAATACAATCTTACAACTTTCGGTTTCTAATTCTTACTTTCTCTCATTCGGTCTCAAATTCTCATAAAAACACTTAGAATAATATTGTAATAATTATTAAATTCCTTCTGTATATTTAAATGATTACATATTATAGATAATATTAAATAATATCTCATGAATTTGTTATAAAATTAATAATTACTTTTTTTTACTATATATTATTAAATATAAATTTAATATACAATCATTTATTTCTGTATTTGTTTGTTTGTTTTTTTTTATATTAAATAGAACAAAAAAATTTTAAATTATATCTAGTAGAACAATTTTACATATTATGTTAAACAAATATCGTAAATTCTTATAAAAACAAACACTTTGAATAATAATTAATATCTACATAATATGAAATAAAAAAAAACATATACAATAATAATAATTAAAAAAAAAAAAAAATAGAAATACGAATTACAGAAAAAAAATAAGAATTATTAACAATAATACTAACAATTTAAATAATATTACAAATGTAAATAATATTGAAAATAAATCCAATTCATCTCTTAAATAATATCTTCAATATTATCTAATTAGATTATCTATTAATAATACGATAAACCGTATAAATATCACACTTGATTCAAATTGCAATGATCACTTACGCAACTAATCGATTTAGATTGGCTTATATCTATATAATAGGTACATATGTAACAATTTCTAAATACATACATTCACATCCACGCATACACACATTCACACACAAACAGGTATAGAAACGTATGCTTGTAGGTATCAAAGATATTAAGGTTTATTCATACATACGTAAGTTCATTCATGCACATGTATGAATGTGATTTTATACATGCATACAAACTTATATACATAGTTACCTAGATAGATAGATAGATAGATAGATACATCGATTTCATTTCTAGTTATACTAGAGAGAAAGAGAGAGAGAGAGAGAGAGAGATAGTCAATCATGATGATCGATTTTCTATGGGCCCAGAACGGAAGTCCATTACATAAAGGTCTTCGATTGAAGTTGGTTCGGTTCAATTATCACTAACACTAAAGTTATAGTAGGTTACAATCATTGTTGGATTATTTGTTACATTTTGTCGTTTTGAATAATATAATCATATAAACATGATTTGTTATAATATCGGAGAAAGGAGAGGGTGGATTTTTAGGGGGGTTTGTACACCACAAATCAAATTTATTTCGATAGTTTTTGATACGATTATTACAACTTTGATATCAATAGATGATACGTGATATATGTGAGGGAAGGGGGAAGATAAAAAAGATAGAAAAATGAACCAAAAAAATATATACATGTATATGTATATATGTAAGTAGTGTAGGAAGAGAGAATAAAGGAAGAATTCCTGTTTCAAAGTAGTCAAGCTCGACAAATGGTCAGACGCGTACCGCAGTTGTAAAATGTTTGATGATAATTAAAAAATTGTTGCAAAAGTTAGAAAATAGTTTACATTATCTACGTTTATAGATTGTTTTAGAGAGTTTCGAAATGAATGAATAACTTGCAAATTGTTTTTTTATTAAATATTACAAATTTTATATAATTAAATAATAAAAATAATTTATTAATTTTTTTGTGAATATATTTAAATTGATTATTCGTTTTATTCTTTGAGTTGTAATTAAATTTACAATATATTTACATATGTATATGATATATTTCGAAATTTATACAATTAAAATTATTTAAATAATTTATTATTTTTTACTGATATATTTAAATTGTTTATTTGTTTTTGACTTAAGTTATAATTAAATCTATGTTATTGATGTTATTCAATTATAAAATTCAAATTCAAGTTCACGAATCTTTTATATAATAATTTATATATTATTTACAAATTTAAATAATATACATAAAAATTTGTTTAGATGTAATTCAAAATTTAACGAATATTGGTTGAATTTAATGGGCCCAATTTTTTGATGAATTTTTTTTTCTATATAATTTAAATATAAAAAATAAAAAATAATCACAACAAAAATTATCTTACATTCTAAGTTGAAAAAAATCGCACAAAATACAAAAAAATTTCATTAAAATTGGTTCAGTAGTTTTGAAATTCATTGGAAACCAGCAATGTGATACTGAATTTGAAATGAGTCAAATTAACTCCGTAAATCTAGAGTTGTTATTAAAAAAAAAAAAAAAAAATAAAGTTATCCATAAATCATAGCAATTCATAAAATATTTCTAACCTCAATTTCATCCACCTCTCATGCATAAAAACAATTTCAAAAATAATAAAATCATGCATACGATATTTCAAAAATATTCGAGATCATTCGATGATCAGTGGGAAATTATGATCAGAAAAGTGAGGTTATGTTTAATTGGTCATTAAAACTATCCCACATAAAAAAAAAAAATAAAAAAATAAAAAAAAACCTGGAAAATGATCCAGGTGACTTGTACAACAACGAGAGTCTTCCACGTGGCAAGGACCAATGCACGACCAGGCTAGTTGACAAAAGATGCACCAGCGGTGGGAGTTCAGGTGCAGTTTATGCTGCACTTCAAGGTAGCGAAGATGAACTTGCCGATGTTGATGAACATTGTATCGTCGAATCGGAAGATGTTGCATTAAAAACTGGTGAAAGTGAAACTGAAGATACTGAGGATAATAACGGTGGTGTTACAACACCTATGGATGAAGAAGAATCACATCACCATTCACCTAATCGTAGGTTTACATTTTTACGTCGTTTTCGTTCGCCACGTTTTGGTGAAGCTCATCACAAACGTGTACCAACACCCATGAAAAGGAAACATAGAAGAAAGAAAAGTAAAGACGATATCATTGAAAATGAAGTTAATGGTGCAGATGAAGAAGAACCACCTAGTCCTGATCAAACTGGTGTACCTGATCCTTATTATCCTATTTATTTACCGATAGATCAGGCGTTCAAAGCTAAATATGTGTTTCATCATAAAAAAGGAAAAACATTTCAAGAAAGGCTTTATGTTTTTCTCGAACATCCTGGTGGTTGGCTATGCTTCATCTATCATTTCACTGTGTGAGTATTTAATATTAAAAATTACTTAAATCATTTTTATGATTATTAATTTATTTTATATTTTATCATCAATATTATTAAACGTATTTTGGGATGCTGTTGATGATTAATATGGATTATACTTTTATATTTATCATAATTTTGTTCACCTTGATATTTCACTAACAAACTGTGTGAGTATTTAATCTTAAAAATAATTAGATCATTTGTACAAGTAATATTTATTTAATATTTTTAATATTATTATACATGTTGTGTGTGTGTGTGTGTGTGTGTGTGTGCTCTTGTTGATAATTAACATTGATTATATTTTATATTAATCATATTTATCTTGAATTTTGTTCACGTTTGTAAAATGTATTCAAAATTTTAGATCTTATAATCTTTGATCTTTTAAATTAATTACAGTTTTTTTATTTATTTTTTTTTTTTTTAATTTAGAAAAGTTATGCGCATAAATGCAATAAAAAATTAGGGTGTAAAATAATGTTGTTATAATTGATAAATTATAATAAATATCTTTATAGATGTGTTAATCAAATTCATATTACAAATCAATTATTTTAATAAAATTTTGAATAAGGTAACTTGTTAAACAAACTTGTTGATAAAAATGTGTTTTACATTTAAAATAAAATAAAAATATTATCATAGATTTAATTTGAGATTAATTATAGTTCTTTTGTTAAGAAAAGCTAATGCAATAAAAAAATTACGGTGTAAAATAATTTAATAATAATTAATAATTAAATACTTAATATCTTTATAGATGTGTCAATCAAACTCGTAATACAAATTAATTATTGTAATAAAATTTTTAACACAGGGGAAACTTGTTAAAAAAAACTTTGTTGATCTTTGCAATTAATTACAGTTTTTCTTTTTTGTATCTGTACACAGGTATAAGAAAAATTAATGCATTCAAAAACTAGTATGTAAAATACTTTTATAATAATTAATAATTAAATACTTAATATCTTTATAGATGTGTCAATCAAATTCGTAATACAAATCAATTATTGTAATAAGATTTTTGACACAGGTAAGAAACTTGTTGAAACAACGAGAAAACAAATGAAATAAAAAAAAAAAAAAAATTAAATAAAAGAAATACATTCTCGTTGTATATTCGCTGTATATAACACATTAATTTTCGATCCATTCATTATTACGAGACACTTTGGACGTTAACGATAAAGGATTACCCTATTTCAAAGATCAAGTGATCATATTTATGAACTACCCCATATATTTCTATATGAATAATAAAATATCGTAAAGTTCGACGGAAAAAAGAAAAAAAACTATAAAGGGTTAGAGAAGGAGGAGGGTGTGACGAGGGGAAGGGAAAAAAGTTTCAACTAATTTCTATTTTCTTCGTATTAATCGATTTATGCTATTTCTAGGATATATTAATATTAATTCGTTCGTGATACGTCACCCATATATTGGGTCGGGTAATTTTTTCATGGACGATAAGGGTTGTCAAATGAAATAAAAGGATTCAAATAAAATTTCTATATGATTTTTATTTAATAATTAAAACAATATTCTGTTTTAAATAATATTTGAAAAAAAAAACAAAACAAAACTAAAGAAATTGATTCATCTACCAGAATGTATTTTATAATATAAAATATTTTATTAAATAGAAAAAAATTGTTTTTACCCTTATATTGGGTCGGATAATTCTTTTATGAAAGATAAGGGTTGATAAAAGGAATAAGATAGTTAAAATAAAATTTTTCTATAATTTTTTATCTAATAAATTCGAACAATTTCATTGTGTGTCAAAATCTGTGTTAAATAATATTTGAAAAAAAAAAAAGAACAATTGATTCACTTTTATTAATGTGTTAATAAATAATTAAAAATATTAATGCATTTTGTAATATAAAATATTTTATTAAAAAAAAAACAATAAAAATTTGTCAAATTCTATGATTTAAATAATATTTGAAAAAAAAAAAAAATAATTGATTTACCTGCCACAATGTATTTTATAGTACCAAATATTTTATTAAAAAGAAAAAAAAAATAGAACATTAAAAAAATAGGAAAGAAACTATCTACCCTACAATATATTTTTTAATATAAAATATTCTATTACCAAAAAAAAAAAAAAAAAAAAAATTTTATACCGTTAATTTTTGTATTGAAGTGAGGGGGAAGTCTTTTTCCAATCGAATTATATTCAAAAAAAAAAAAAAAAAATAGGAAAAAAAAAATATTTAAAAAATATGAAAAAAATTGTTGACAAAATTTGTTGATAAAATATGTGTTACAATTTTAAATCTAAATAATTTATGATCTTTAAAATTAATTATAGTTTTTTTTTTTGGTTAAGAAAAGACTAGAAAAAAAATAGTAAAGGAAAAAAAATATAGATAGGAAAGAGAAAATTGGATAGATAAAATAAAGTTTAGGTCAGTTATATCTATCTCTATTTTGAATTTGATTATTTCCAATTTTCTGTTCAATTTTGATAAGGGAATGATAAGAAAAAGTTTTCTCCTTCTACTAGAAAATATATTTCTGAAATATCTATTTGAGTATATATCCTATGGGGATTTGATAAACCCATAGAAAAATCTTCTCTATATCGAGCTTTTTTTAAACTTATATTTGACTAAATGAAAAAAAAGACGAAGAAAAAGAAGAAGAAGAAGAAAATAAAAATAAAAATCAATCCTTTTTTTGTTTTTTACATGTTTTACCTGTAACACATGAGCTCAGGTGTTCACTCTTTTCAAAACTTAATCGAATAAAGTTACTTATTTTTTCTTTCTAGTAACTTGTACTTTTACCTTTAACTTTAACTTTAATTTAAACTTTTTTTTCTTCGTTTGTTTTTCATTTGATTTCTTTCTTTTAGAAGAAGGTATCTTAAAAATTAGCTTTTATGGTGAATAAGATTTCGAAAGTTTCGAAAGTTCTTAGAATCACATAGGAATTCGTATCAATGTGTACACCATAATGTACATGGTGAACTAATTTTAACAACCAACTTAAACAACTATGCTTATTATAATATACAGGGTGATCTGTAACTGGTGGTACAAGGTGGTACAAAAGTGAATGATTCTACATGAAAAAATAAATCGAAAATATAGAATAATTTTCGTTTGATAATTTCTGTAATATTTTCCGTTTGAGGCGTTGTTTTCGACAAAATCAAACTTTGAATTTTTGCAAAATACGCGTACACTTGATACTGTCTCATTATAACGGAACTACGAACTTTGCAGAAATACCCTACGAACTTTTTAGAAATACCCTACGAACTTTTTAGAAATACCCTCCTAATTCTTTCGTCACCATTTACAGATCATCCTGTATATATAACAAGATAATTTATATATTTTTATATAACATTTTTTATAATAATATTATATAAATATAAAAATAATTGATGTTATAAATAAATATCTTATTAATCAAGAAGTAGTCATTTCTACTTATGTCAATTTGTATTTACTTACATATATTTTAATCAAAAAACCGATTAATTTTTATACCGGCCCGATATTAACAATTTTGCATACTACATTTAAAAAAAGGTTGTTTAAATTTTAATAACGATGAGAATGATTATATTATTCAGTAAAAATACAAACTTGGTAATAAACATTTAATCTCTCGTTTGAATTTTAATATTAAAAAGTGACATTACTTTCTGGTTCACATAATATATAATAAATATATATATATATATTTTTTTTTTTTAAAGAATTGATAGATATAACCAATAGTTTAAAGTTATTTGAAATGATAGTGATACTTATTGATTCACTTGGTATATATATATATATATATATATATCTATACACGTCGTGTCTTTTACTGTTGAACGCTCTGCTGACTCTTCAAAATCGATCAAGCACGTAATCCGTGTTCTCGTGAATCCGAGAGACAGAGAAATCAACTATGAATTTTGAATATTTCCTAAGAAATTCGATCACAATATATCTCACACGGTGATCGATTATTACCAAACACGTTTCAATATTATTTTCTCCTTCCCTTTTTTAAATTGCAATATTATTTTCTCCTTTTCTTTTTTAAATTTCAATATATTATATCTAACTTTTTTCTTCTTTTATTGAAATATTTCATTAAGCAAAAAAAAAAAAGAAATAAAAAAAAAAAAAAACAATCTTTGAGACAAATTCTATTTCGTTTTATTTTGCAAACACGTTTCAATATTATTTTACATCTCTTTTAATTTCAATAATTAATCTATTTTTTCTTTTTATTTAAATATTGCGTTAAGTAAAAGAAAAAAAAAAACAAAGAAACAGAAAAACAATTCTATTGCACATGTGTTTCCATTTTTAAAAACATATCATTCAATTATTTTATTTCTAACATGTTAATACTTAAAATAAACAAACAAAAATATATTTTCAAATGATTATGTCAAATACAAAAGTATACCTGTTCTAATTTAAATAATCATAGATTTCATTAGATACATACGTTTATAATATATTCATATATACACAGATATATCCACATATGCATTCTGTATTCATATATACATGTGTGTAATACAGTATATCTCTGTAGATATAATCATATAGGTATAAAAACAATTTTATTTCATTTTACTTTGCAGACACGTTTTCTTTTTTCTTTCTTTTTTTTTTTAAACATATCACACAATTATTTTATTTCTAACATTTTAATTATAAAATAAAAAAGAAAATATATATATATATATATATATATATATATATATATATATATTTTCAGATAATTATGTCAAATTCAAAAGTACACCTGTTCCAATTTAAATAATCATAGATTTCATTAGATACAAACGTTTATAATATATTTACATATACACACATATATATCCACATATGTAATCTGTATTTATGCATGTATATATGTATGTATATGTGTAATATATCTATGTAGATATTATAACTATATATAGGTATAAAATCATAGTAGTATTCCTATCAAAAGTGGTACTCATGAATGCAACGATCACG